TGTACGGCTTTTCTTAAAATATAAAGCGTATTTTTACAAAAATAATTAAAATTGAATAATATTAAGATAAATGGTCAAATCTTCTCGTAAAGTTTTGATAAACACTTGAAATTCTATTAAAATGTCAAATTTTAGTACTGAATCCAAAGAAAATGTCTCTTTTATCCATTAATAATAACTTAAATATGCTTTTTGTTAAGATGTATACCTGAAAATGTGTGCATACATATTTGCGTTAAATGCAATACATGCGCACGTGGAATCAATTTGTAAAAGTGTAAAATACGTAAACGTATGTACATAAACAATAAAACTTTCTCATGAATACCATAAAATCATTGGTCTTGAAGGGAATGTACTAAGAAAATATGTGAGCGAATTAAAATGTGTAGACAATTTATAGCCGAAAAGTACATTTTTTGTATAGATTTCGTACTGAAAGAACAATTTCATATCCCAACACTGATACAGAATGTAAACAAACACAGGGTTGCAAGGAAAAAAAGTTGAACGAGCTCAAAGTTGGCTGGCGACCAACTTTGTTGAAAGCGATTAGTTGAAAGGCCGTTCGGACGAGGCGATTTTTGCTTTCAACTAAAAGTTGCCTGAAAAATCGCCTCGTGCGAAAGCCCTATAAGCGGTAGAAGTTATATGTGCTATTTTGGAAATTACCACATCTTGTCATTAGACTTCTTTCTCTAGACTTCAGCAGGAATCGAACCCGTATCATCGATGTGCAAAGTCAGCAATGCCAACTACTTAGCTAAGTACACCCCGTTAACTATTGTTGCTTGTCTATCTCTTTATTCAACCTACTCCAATAAAGTTCAACTGATTTGCCGCTATTTGGTTACTCGATCCAGAGACAGCTATGTATCGTGACGAGGGTAGCGCCAGTATGGAGCACACATAGAGGTCATAGAAGATATCCTTTGATACCTCGCCTTGCTCCTATTTCGAGACGTGTGCTAGTGCAAATGAGCTAGGTGTTAAAAAATCTTGTAACGTGACGCTCATCTACCGGGATGAACGACAGCACTCGACCGTACCCCGCCCATCGAATTTCGTGGATGACGGTGATGTAAGCCTTAGTCGTTTCAACGACCTTAACCAACCGAGCAAAAGCACATTTCCCATTAAGGGTTGTTTCCGGTGCATAACCTCAAATCATAGCCCTTTTTAATCTTTTCCTGGCCGTCATCAAATTATTATTTTCCAGGAATGAAAATTTTGAACAAAATTGTGTTTTTAAAGTCGTTGCTGCCAGTCGAACCGGATCAAAATATTGTTATATTTTTTTTTTAAAGCATCCCGTTTTTAATAAGCATTTAAATTATTAGAATCACGGATGATGAGGGTCTCAGATAGTTGGGTAATTCTTACCTAATTAAAGATCAGACCAATAGCTTTTTAATTATTTGAGCATCGATTCTGTTTATAGCCAGACGTTGATCACTTCTGTTGGAAATCCTTATTCTAGGAGCTTAATCTTTAACATTAAATGGCAAAGAAGGGAGACGTAGGGCCAGTTTTACCACAGAGGCTTTTAGCCAAGGATCCAATGTACATATTTCCCTATGAAAAAATTATTGCCCGACAAGTAAATTAATACACGTTAAAAATAAATCACGACAATTTGGTTCAAAATTACAGTGCACACTTACTTCTTTATGTCTAGTAACTTTTTTAAGATTGGGCCAAAAAAAATCATAATAAAGAAAGGAATCAATGGCGGCAAAAAAAATTGGCTACAATTTGTCATTTTGTATTGCAGATATACGTTTTATCGGTGCTCCGCATTGATTATTGCGAATGCGAATGTTAAAATTAATGCGGAAGCTCCGCGGTTGCGAACGCGATTGCGAATATTCGCAACAACCCTAATATGTATATATGTATATGTACATATCGCTAGCTTGAGTGAAAAGTTGAAAAGTTCCAATTTAAAAATTGTACAAGAGAGGGAAAAACTTCTTATAGCCATTATCTTCAAGCATTGAGCAAAGCTTTGAATACAACATTTTGCCTGTGTAAAGCAAAGCAAAACTCCATCCAATCAGAGGGATTCAATCTTTATTAAAAGATTTCGTACTATTTTGGCTTTATCAAATTTTCGGAGCTTCTTGGCAAATTTTCCTTTCATTGAATATAAACGAGAAAACATAAAACTAGCACCTTTACCCTTTTCGAAACGATGCATTTTTAATTTCTCTAGCCTCCTGTATCAAAATATGAGTTTTCATAAAAAGTGGACTTATCAACTTTTCACTCTAAGCTAGCGATATATATTTGTACATACATATATGTAAAGTACTTTCATAAGTAAATACATACATACATATTTACTTGTACATTCTATGTATTTATGTTTATATATATATGAATATTTACATAAATATGTACATATATGATAATAAAATATGTATTCTTTAATGCATATATGTACGTAATAAATATGTATTTACTTGAAGGTAAATAAATACATACTACATATGTATGTATGTAAGTAAATTTAAGCACACATTGAAGTGTTTCTTAAAAATAGAATATCAGACTCTTAAAGCGCGATCTGAATAATAATGCTATAAAACTTTAAAACCATACCCTTCTATGTATACTCAGATGCATTCGTGTACAAACGTCATACCGCCAGTTTAGAGCGAAAATTCGATAAGTCCAGCTCTTCAAATTTGAAATAAGAGAAGCAACGAGTATGTATTTCCAACATTTGCTTTTCTTTTAAACAAATCAATAATCTAGAATTCGACGTTAATGAAACGTTTGTCGAATCATCGAATTAAATTAAAATAGTTCTAGTAAAAAATTTACTAAAAACACAGTGCAACAAATTTCAAAATGTTGGAGGTGATGGGAATCGAACCAACAGCATTTGAATACGCTGGTTAATAATGAAAAAATACCAAAAGGATTTGAAAAATTTGATTACCATTTATTTTTTAACTCAATTTGTAATTTGTGTGTTTCAGGTGTCATTTCTGAAAAACATTTATTTTTATTATATATATGTATATGTAAGTATATACATACATATATGCATGTAGGTATGAAATTTTTGAGCAAAATCAAACAAAAAAATCATTGTACTTGTTTATTTTTGAACCCTGAATTCACGACTTTAAATCAATGTGTGACGAATTTTATGCGCGTGAACGTGACCTGATTTTAGAAAAAATCACGGAATCTACGAAAATTTGTGTGAGTGATATTTTTGAGTTAATCGAAAATTTTTTAAATACTCGGAATTTTCGGAAGGCCTTTCAAAGAAAATGTTAATGACTGGCAACAGAAAAAGTTTCCCGTTTGACTGTATTGTATATGGAAATTAGAGTAATCCCTACCACCTTCACGCAACCAATTTTAGTTTAAAAATATTCAGCCAATTTTCGTATGTTTCCTTTCTATATAATTTAAGAGCCTTTAACGAAGAAACTAATTCCAGTCTTTAATCTGTGGTGTAGAATTTGTACCAACTTTTCTTTCGATGAAACATCCGCCAGCATAGAAGAGCGTGCGTGATGTGTGTGTGTTTAAAAATCCGACGTCGTGAACGTACGTGACTGTGCTTAATTTTCAAAGCTTCGGTTTAGAACATGATCCAAAATAAGTCACGCGCCCATCTCTAAGGTGTGAAGCGAAAATTGCTGGAAGCCGAGATCCGATGCCTATGACTTTTCAATGCTACAGGCTAGTACACCACTGTTGCCTTTGCTGATGAGATACTACAATGTTAAGTTACCAGAGACTGAGTGCTGGCTTACCCACAAAACTAAGCCGGAACTTACACATTGTAGAATCTTGAATGAAGGCTCCAAAAGTGGCACAGGGTCAGGATCCGTGGTTTATATCGAAAGAAACATGTTGTTGTTGTAGCCCTGTACATAGGATCCGTGGTTTATATCGAAAGAAACATGTTGTTGTTGTAGCCCTGTACATAACCCTCCTAGTCGTTTTGTTCAAGCTCCACTAAAGGGAGTGCCAGGAAATGTTGCACTCCGACTGGGTTGGACCAGAGGGTGAGGGCCTTAGTTGAGTGGGCCCTTAGTTGAGTGGGATTTCATGGGAATGCGAAGAGGTGTGCCGAATCATGGGGGATTACTCTGCGCAGGCGGATCAAATGTTGAGCACATCAGAATCTATCCTTAAGACGATGAGCTGCGTATTAGAAACAAGATCGAGTTTACGTGTCTTTAGTGGCAACCCTGCTGCACTGACGAGTGACATAATCCATGTCTGTCGATGGTATCTCATAAGAGAATAATTCATTTTTATTGCTATTCTACTGATTTCTACTTTAACTGACAATTATGACCAACTGCATAAGAACATGATTTATGTTTAATTTAGCTTTATTGCTTTCTTAATTATTATATTACTTTTTAATTATGAAACTCTTCCAGCAAACGAGCAATGTAGATCCGATGCCTGTTTGTATGTACATAGATACATACATACATATGTATATACTCATACCCAATAAACATTGGGCTTGGTTAACAATTCGAAAATGATTGGAAAAGCAATCTTTTTTCGAGTCTCATCTCCGATAACGTATGTGAAATAGGTTAGTATTCGATTCCAGAGCTAGGCCATTCTCAGCAGAACGGAACCTTCGTTATCCAATGTATTTTTCCTTCGTTATGAATTCGAAATCCAGCCTATTATCGAATTGAAATTTTAATGAGAGCGATTTTCTTATATTTTCGTTCGAGAATGAACTGGATTTCACTTTCTCTCTTGTTACTATGGTTTTCATGTTTTTTCGAACCCATCTCGAGTGCATTTCCATTATAATATGAACCCTCGAAAACTAAGATTGGTTATGAGTTCATTATCAGCTCGATATGTATGTATATTGGTTACCGAAGGCCATTTTCGAATGTTCGCCAAAATGTTTATTGGGTATAATTATATATAAATATTTTTAAGCGCACATCCGTAAATGAGTGTTCCTATTTTTTATGTAATTTTTTTCTTTTCAGTTTATACACGGTTTGAATAATTTATGCCGTCCACTATATATTCTAAAGCCAGTGTGAGCACCGCAGAAACATCAACGTTTCCAGCAACATACTAATATCACATCCAACGCTGTCACTGAACAGCTAGCAGCTATTAGTACGTCTCAAAATAACTGGCTCACACTGGTCCCAGACGTGCTGTTCCTTTTCAGCTGATCAACGCATTTAAATAAGTAGATAAATTCAATACCATATTTAGTGACACAAAAACAACAGCAGCGATCGCGGACAATATGGCAGCCGTTGAAGTACGTAATGGTTATAAATATTATGGCAGCAAATCCAATCCGAAGATCATACTTAATTACCTGAATATGAATGTTATGCGCGGTTCAATGTAAGTGCTTGAATTTAAGGTACTTTCGAGCTGTAAGTACTTGGGACACATAAATACATACATACATACATACATATGGACACACGTAACAGTTTTATATAGCAGCACTTCTAGCAGAGAAGTTTGATAAAGTTATACATAAATATAAAGTTAAAATTTTTGCCAACCCTCATGTAGATATGGGCTTCTTGGTGCTTCAGGCTGTGGAAAAACTACGCTGCTTTCATGTTTGGTAGGCCAACGTCAGCTTAATAGTGGCAAAATCACAGTACTGGGCATGACGCCCGGTCAGCCAGGCAGTGGTATACCGGGAGCGCGCATTGGTTATATGCCCCAAGTGAGTAAAATTTATATGATAAATATTTATTGGATTATTATTTAAATAAATTAAAATAAACCTGCTTATTGTTTGCTGGGTTAGAGCTGCTTCGGCATTTGCATTGCCGTACGCATTTCGCGCCTACCTCAGAGAGTCGGTTTTTATTAAAATGACAAACAATAAACATGAAGTACAATATTTGGAATCTTACATTTAATATCTAACTTATTTTGAATAATATCAATATTATTTTGAATTCATGTCTTGTAATTCATCTAAACTACGCTTAAAAATAACCAAAAATTGTTTGGATACGTCCTTTCGCCTGTGAGTAAGCAATCTAAATCCTCCAATTTCTCGTAAGATCACTTCCACCATATGACCTTCTTCTACTTCTTTATCGCTGTAGCGGCGTAAGTGATTTTGGCCGAGCGCAATAAACCACGCCAGTCTTTTCGATTTTGTACCAACCGACATCAAATTGGAAATGCCAATTGAGGCCTCTTTTCCTCTGCTACCAGCACCGGGATCCGCGTTGTATACTTTCAGAGCTACCGCGTTTGTGTCCATTCGGGCGGGTCCGCCCGCCTTTCTTGTGGATTGGGAAAAACACACTTCAATTTCAGCCGACCATATTTTACTCGCCGCCATACTTGAATAAGTTTGCTGTTTTTCAGCGGGGAGATTGTTAATGGCATCTCGTCAGTCCAAAGTAGCAATTGTTGGCTAGATTCTCCTTTGGATCTCTAAGTTGGCTTTATTAGCGGTAATAGTGCTGCTTTCTAAATAAACAAAGCTCTCTACTTTTCATACCCGAGCGCACCTGTGCATAAAGTTATATCAACTTTGTTCGCATAACGGGTGGCTGTAAAAGTTTAAATCAACGATGGGCAGAGGGAGCTTTTACTCTGCACGCTACTATACTAAATGTATAGAAAGCTTAAAAGAGCTTTCTCCGCGGTGCCCAAGCTGGCGATATGTACGCATATGTATTTTAACAAAAACTATGAAAATTCAATTTAAAAGAATAAGTAAAAATTTTCACAAGAACGAAAGTGAAAACAAATCTGTCGAGAATGTTCTTCACGAGAAGTAGTATATAAGAACAAAATCCTGGGTAACGTTCCCGAAGCGAAGAAAATTCAAACAATGCTTTCGAGAACATTTTTAAGAGAACAAAATGGGAACAAAAGTCTCCGGAACGTCCTGGCGAAGTGCAAACCGGGAACAAAAGTTTAAGGAACTTTCTCTCAAAGAATGAAAGCCTTAAGACACGAATGGGCCCTTATTATAAACGACCTGGAAGTTGAAATAATTCAGCTTTTATATGACTTAGACTAAGCAATCATGGTTCTCACTGAAGCGATTTTTATCACCACATGCAGACGAGGCTCTCTTAACATCTCAAAACTTTTGTTCTCTAGCAGGGCGTTCCCCAGACTTTTTTTCCTATTTTATCCTCCTTGAAATGTTCTCGATACGTTCGTTCTCATTTGAATCGTTCCCGAAAGTTAAGTTTTGATTCGTTGTTTGTTCTCATTTTGTTTATTTTGAGGCCATTCCCGAGTTTTGTTCGCATTTTGTTCTTTTTGAGAACGTACCTGAAGCTTTTGTTCTCATGTTGCTCTCTTGGGATCTATACCAGCGTATATAATTTTAGTTTACATTTCATAAATATATTTTGAAAATGCTCTATTTTTTTTATTAATACATTGAAAAAATATTGAAATACAAAATAAATTAAATAATTTTTTATTTGTGCAGACATTTTTAGCAGTAATTTTTTTTTTGTTTCGAACGTATTTATCAATAGAATAAAATAATTTTTTGTATGCAAAAATACAAACAAACATATATTTTAATGATAACTTTACAGGAAATCGCCCTTGTCGATGAAATGACGGTAAAAGAGACCATCTTCTACTTTGGTCGTATTTACGGGTTAAAAGAAGAAAAAATAAGAGAGAAATTCAAAATAATGCGCTCATTACTACAGTTACCACCACCGAAACAGTTGGTGAAGAATTGCAGTGGTGGCCAACAGCGAAGAGTATCTTTCGCTTGCGCCATGATACATGAACCAGAATTATTAATACTGGACGAACCGACAGTGGGTTTAGATCCCATGCTGCGTGAGAAGTATGTTTACAGCCGGTTTCATCAGCAATTTAAATGGGAAATGATTTTTTATTTTCAATTTCAATTCAATATAAAATTTAAAAAATTTAAACCATTTTTCATTTAAATTGCTTTCGTGAAACTGGCCGTTAGTCTCTTCAAATTTTAATGATTTAAATTCTATTCATTATTTGTATGGAAATTATCTCTTCTTAGAATATGGGACTTTCTTGTGGAGAGCACTAGGAATAGCAAAATGGCTGTGATCATAACTACACATTACATTGAGGAGGCGAAAAAAGCCAATTGTGTAAGTAATTTCGAAAATTGCTTCGAGCAAGAGTACTGAGAAATTCAGTAATTATGAAATGGCAAAACATCTATAAGTTGTTATTTAATTACAATTGCTTTAATTTAGGAAAATTTCATCTCGTGATTAATTACAGTTTCCCGATATTACATAAAATGGATATTCCTATGCCGAATTTCCACTAGGTATTAATATAACCAAAAATTATACTATTTAAAAAATGCTCCTTTGAGTTATTATCAACGTTAAATACGACACGAGTATTTTTAAATAACCCACACTTTCATTAAAGTATTTACAGTTGTAATTTAATTCCCAGTGGAAATTAGGCGTGTCAATTTTGATAGTTACACACATATAAGTAATGTTTAAATAATTATTAATCGAAATTTATCACACAAACACGCATGTATGTATGTAGATCGGTTTAATGCGAAACGGTGTACTCTTGGCTGAGGACACACCAACAAACATAATGATTAAATTTGAATGCAGCTCTATCGAGGATGCATTCCTGATATTAAGTCAAAAGCAAGGTGACTCAGACGTGGTGCAGGCAGGTAACGTCAACACTTCACAACCACCGGCAGTTATGCATTCTGTTGAGGTAATTGACGCTACCTCGCCAGATCTCAACGAGACATGCAAAAAACGACCATTCGTCGATGAAAATGATAATAAAACGCAACCAACCAAATCGACCAGCCGCAACCGCGAACAGGAAACAGAAAATAGAAAACGAATATTTTTCACGACTCGTGGTCGGATCAAAGCTTTGATGACAAAGAATTTCGTACAACTCTTTCGGCAGCCTTCGTAAGTGTTAAAGTTAATGGCGTCTATTAACAATTTTTAAATGTAAACATCTTTTTTCAGCGGAATCATTTTTATGCTTCTCTTCCCAATAATACAGCTGTCGTGTTTCTATTTAGCCATCGGTAAAACACCAACAAATCTTAAACTTGGTATCGTTAGCGGAGAAGTAAGCGACTATTCGACATGCTTTGATAAAAATTTGAGGACAGTTTATAATCACAATGACACTTGCGAATTTCGAAAGATATCATGTCGCTTTATTGCGGAATTGGGTGACGATATCGCTGAAAGAGTATGTATCTTATATTTATATTTGCATTAGAATATACGTATGTATGTTAAATATTTAAAGTGTTAAGGTAAAGATGAGAATGGAAGAAAGCTGAAAATTTAAAAATCAATTGGTTTAAAAATAAATGTATGCCACAAATAAAAGATGATCGGCATAAGAGTATACATACATATGTATGTATGTAAATTGACTTACATAAGTGTCCATGTGCTGATTTTTTTTTTTTAATATTCACAACGTGTTTCAAGTTAATTTTTGTTATTTTTTAAAATATAACCATGATACAAAAAAGAAGGTAGTTTCATTACTACTATTTTTTGATTGTAAAGCGGATTTTTGAAAATTTTCGAAATTTTTCAAAATTTTTAACAATTTCCAAGCGGAGCCTAGTAGCCGCTACAACAACAACAACCAGAAATTAAATTAGTCTTTACGGTCGATTACGGATGGCAACCGAACTTCAGTTGGGTTTCCAATGGCTGAAATGGTATAGCAGATGGCAACTGGTTGCGTTGCAATCCATAATCGACCCATTATAAGCAATTGCAATTCTTACATTTCGAATTTCGGCACAGCGCTCCGGCTTAATCTTGCGACCTTCTTCGTAAGCGAAATCTGCCCCTTGAAAAATGCATTGAGCAGACGTACGGCACCTTAGGTAATACATCTTCACTCAATCTGCAAGTTTCCAGCCATTCCTCGCGGATGTGTTTCGTGCTTTTGCACTCAGGAAATAAGCAGCTCATATTTTTTATTTTTGAAGGAACTAACAGCCAATTTCACAATAAAATAAATTTTCTTTTAATTTTGAAAGTTATTTTTTTTGACAAAAAAAGATTTTTGGGCATGGTGGAATAATAACAAGGTGTTGTCAGTAGCGACGTGTTTGTTGTAATTTTAAAGATTTTATTCCTAACAAAAATCATAGAATACAAATTTTAAACTTTGTGCAAAAAACTATAAAAATTAACTCTGCAAGGTTTCACCAAAGTTTCAATCTTTTTAATTAGAATCTTTAGAAAAAAATTTAGTTTGCAGTTTTGTAACTCATTAAAATTGAGTATTACAAAAGTGCGGGTGGAAAGTTCTGGTCATTTGCTTCTCTTTAAAAAAAATGGTCGAACACACTTTGTATGAAAAAAATGCGTAACACCGTCAACAAACAAAAAGAATTGCCAAAAATTAATCGCTAACGCTTACGACTTAAAAGTGCACTTTATTATACTAAAATTTAACGAATTTTTTAAACAAATTTTACGGGGTAAAAATCTCGAGAAAATGATCTTACAAATTTGTTATGTTACTATAAGGATACTGTTTCAGGGCTAATACCTACATCTAGGATCATTGAAGAAGGCTTTAAGATCTGTAAGCTGTTGTGAAACAAATTTGAAAAATAATTTTTTGTCCCGTATTCGGCTCTCATAAATATGGTCTTCTTCTTCTTCTTTTTTGGCGCTGCAACCGCCTAAGCGATTTTGGCCGAGTTCAGCAAAGCACGCCAGTCGTTTCTCCTCTGTGCCAACTGACGCCAATTGGAAACGCCAAGTGAAGCCAAGTCCTTCTCCACCTGATCTTTCCATCGCAGTGGGGGCCTCCCTCTTCCTCTGCTACCACCAGCGGGTTCCGAGTTGAATACTTTCAGAGCAGGAGCGTCGGTGTCCATTCGAACGACATGACCAAGCCAGCGGAGCCGCTGTATTTTAATTCGCTGCACTATGTCCATATCGTTGTAAAGCTCATGCATCTCATCGTTCCATCGTCTGCGGTACTCGCCGTCGCCAACGCGTAAAGGACCGTAAATCTTCCGCAAAATCTTTCTCTCAAACACCCCAAGAGCCGCCTCATCGGATGTTGTCATTGTCCATGCTTCTGCGCCATATACCAGCACGGGCATGATGAGTGACTTATAGAGCGTGGTTTTCGTACGTCGAGAGAGGACTTTACTCCTGAATTGCCTACTCAGTCCAAAGTAGCACTTGTTGGCAAGAGTGATTCTACGTTGGATTTCAATGCTGACATTATTATGGGTGTTAATGCTGGTTCCCAAGTAAACGAAATTCTCTACTTTCTCGAAATTGTAACTGTCAACAGTGACGTGGGTGCCAAGGCGCGAATGTGCTGACTGTTTGTTTGATGACAGGAGATACTTCGTCTTGTCCTCGTTTACCACCAGACCCATGCGCTTTGCTTCCCTATCCAACTTGGAAAAGGCAGAACAGACTTCGCGGTTTTTGTTACCGATGATGTCGATGTCATCGGCATAAGCCAGCAATTGCACGCTCTTGTAGTAAATTGTTCCTGAGCGGTTCAGTTCTGCAGCTCTTATTATCTTCTCCAACATCAGATTAAAGAAGTCACATGAAAGGGAGTCGCCCTGTCTGAAACCCCGTTTTGTGGCGAACGGCTCGGAGAGGTCTTTTCCAATTCTGACGGAGCTGGTGGTATTGCTCAACGTCATTTTACACAGCCGTATGAGTTTTGAGGGGATGCCAAATTCAGACATAGCGGCGTATAGGCAACTCCTTTTAGTGCTGTCAAAAGCGGCTTTAAAGTCGACAAATAGGTGGTGAGTGTCGATCCTTTTCTCGCGGGTCTTTTCCAAGATTTGGCGTATTGTGAATACCTGGTCTATGGTCGATTTGCCAGGTCTAAAGCCACACTGATAAGGCCCAATCAGTTCATTGACGGTGGGCTTCAGTCTTTCACACAATACGCTCGATAAGACCTTGTAACCTATGCTTAGAAGGCTGATCCCGCGGTAGTTGGCGCGAATGGCGGGGTCACCTTTCTTGTGGATTGGGCAGAGCACACTTAAATTCCAGTCGTCGGGCATGCGTTCATCTGACCATATTCTGCACAAGAGTTGATGCATGCACCTTATCAACTCCTCGCCGCCGTACTTGAATAGCTCAGCTGGCAGGCTGTCAGCTCCAGCGGCTTTGTTGTTTTTCAGCCGCGTTATTGCTATACGTACCTCGTCATAGTCAGGCGGTGGAACGTCGACTCCGTCATCATCGACTGCGGGCTCGGGTTCTTCTTCTCCACAACTTTCTGTGCTGCTGCCATTTAGTAGGGCGGAAAAGTGTTCCCTCCATAATTTAAGTACGCTCTGGACATCAGTTACTAGGTCGCCATTATTGTTCTTACAGGAGTGCGCCCCGGTCTTTAAACCTTCCGTAAGTCGCCTAACTCTCTGGTAAAATTTTCGGGCATTCCTCCTGTCGGCCAGCTTTTCAAGCTCTTCGCACTCACGTATTTCTGCCTCTCTCTTCTTGTTGCGGCAAATACGTCTCGCTTCCCTCTTCAGATCCCTATAGCGGTCCCACATAGCGCGCGTTGCGCCCGATCGCAGCGTGGCCGTGTAGGCGGCATCTTTTTTCTCTGCAGCTTCCTGACACTCCTCATCGTACCAGTTGTTCTTTCGGGCTCGCTGAAATCCGACTACTTCTTCGGCGGCGGTACTTAATGAGCGGGAAATGTGGTTCCACTGCTCGCATATGTCGGTTTGTTGAAGAGTGCTCTCTGAGAGCAGGTGTGAGAGTCGAGTAGCGAAAGCGCTGGCTATCTGTTGTGATTGCAGCTTCTCGACGTTAAGCTTTCCTTGCATATTTGGGCGCACATTTTTTGCTGCACAGAGGCGGGTGCGTATCTTGGCTGCAACAAGATAGTGGTCCGAGTCGATGTTTGGGCCTCGGAGTGTGCGTACGTCTAAAACACTGGAAGCGTGCCTTCCGTCTATCACAACATGATCGATTTGGTTTCTCGTTTTTCGATCCGGAGACAGCCAGGTAGCTTGATGGATCTTTTTATGCTTGAACCTAGTACTGCATACTACCATGTTTCGGGCCCCGGCGAAGTCGATCAGCCTCAATCCGTTGTCGGACGTTTCGTCGTGGAGGCTGAATTTTCCGACGGTGGTTCCAAAGATCCCTTCTTTGCCCACCCTGGCATTGAAGTCGCCAAGCACGATTTTGATATCATGACGGGGGCAGCGCTCGTACGTGCGCTCCAAGCGCTCATAGAAGAGATCCTTGGATGCCTCATCCTTCTCTTCCGTCGGGGCATGGGCGCAGATGAGCGAGATGTTGAAGAATCTCGCTTTGATGCGGATTGTGACTAGACGCTCGTCCACCGGGGTGAACGACAGTACTCGGCGACGGAGTCTCTCTCCCACCACAAATCCAACTCCGAATTTGCGCTCCTTTACATGGCAGCTGTAGTAGACGTCGCAAGGCCCCAGACATTCTTTGCCTTGCCCCGTCCAACGCATTTCTTGGATGGCGGTGATGTCAGCTTTTGTCCTTACGAGGACATCAACCAGCCGGGCAGAGGCACCTTCCCCATTAAGGGTCCGGACATTCCAGGTGCATGCCCTCAAATCGTAGTCCTTTAAACATTTGCCGTGGTCGTCATCATAAGGGGGGGGGTCTCATCCGAGGCTTTGCCTTGCTTCTTCACTGGAAGTTCTTTTTACGTGGCGGGTCCCAAGCCCAGCGTACAACCCATTGCTGGGACGGGGGTGGTTTCGCAACCAAATACACGTTTATATAGCGAGCCGCTTGCTCCAAGCAGACACCCGCTTGCAGCCGCACCTACTGGTGAACAGACGCTACAGACTTCAGTGAGCCCTTAAACCGAATAAGTCAGAGTGGCCCCACCGAAGCTCCCTCTCTTTCTGCCGTGACCCAAGGCTCCACTCGGATTGGTTACCGCATCTCGCACATGGGTTGCTCACGTTGCCCAGAGTGCGCGAACGAGGACGCAAGAGTCGGGATTGAGTATAGCCATGCAACTGTAACTGCATACCCAGCGCAATGACTATACCCCATTGCACTCCTATGGTCACCGTACTTATATAAGTCACTGTATGTATGTACATATCGCCCATTTACTTCAATAGTGTCACAATCCATAAAATTCAAATTTTGAGTTAAGTATGCAGAAATTACAGCTACCTCTTCTTTTACCATTTACTGTATTTCGAAAGCCTAATTGAAAGACCTGCTAATGAGGAGGTCTTAGCGTTATGCTGTTCGCATTTTAACTTTTTTTTTTATTTTAATTAAATTTTAAAAACATATACATATATTTCTCTTTTTAAAACAACCAAAAGTAATAAATAAAAGAAATTTAAATAAAAAAGTAAAAAAACTAAAATAAAGCAAAAATAAATAAATAAATGGTTTTAGAAAAAATAAATTAAAATCGAACGAAATTTTTTTCTTCTCATTTAATTAAAAAGAAAAAAGTTCCGCCGCCCAAGACGCGAACTCTTGATCTTTCGAACGGCACGCCTATGTTCTGCTACTCGGCCATTGTGACTGTTGGAGCGACGCGAGCTAAATGGCATACAAGTGCTTTCTCCCCAAAACAGCTTTCACCAAGAGTGGTGAATGAGAGAGCTTTCTTCGTCTAAGACTTTTGTGCTAGAATAGCAAAAGTGTTTCGATCTATCTTGCCATCTGTCTTTCATTTGTCTGACGAAAGGCTATTTACTGTCTTAGCCAGTATTGCCCTGTTAATCAACATATGTACCTCTCTCTCTTCTAACATGATAATTTTAAAACAATACATTTAATCGGTCTACCCTTAAATAGGAAAAAGATTTTAACTATAATTTTTGCACATTGCATTTTCGTGGATTTCGGAGAAATCACATTCAGTTGAAAATAACTTTCCTATGATTCTAAATGGAATGGAGTGAGGTGGTGCTATACTCTAAGTCGGAGGAGTTTCATGTTTACCAGTTTCTATGTAAAATTATATTAAAATTTATTTCGCCATAATTTCACCATCCCATTTTTGCCATTGCGCCAATCTAAACAATTGCAATTTAAAGTTATTTCTTATTTTAGATATATTATAAAACAGAGGAAGAAGCCTACAGCGCGGCCAAGCGCACAGATGTCTTGGGTTATATAATGTTTCCAAGTAATTTCTCAGAATCAATAAGAGCCCGACTGGAAGATGGTCGGTATGCGGATGAAGGCACAGTGGAAAATGGGGAACTAACTGTCCATATTGATATGACGGGTGAGCACGAGATTATTGCATATAAACGAACAAAATTTGTCACTTTTCAACATATGTATTCTTGCTACTTTGCAACATTAAAAAATTAGATCAACAGATCGGCTACTTTATTGAGCGCAAGCTACGTGATAGTTTCGGTTCGTTTATGAAGGGCGTGTTAATCGATTGCAATCTACCAGCTAGTTTGGGAAACATTCCTATACAATTTCAGGAGCCTGTTTACGGTTCGTTAGATATTGAATTTCAGCAATATGTGGCGCCTGGTGTCGTTATGACGTAAGTATTCGAAGTTTCTCGAATTCAATGTTACAGATAAATATATATCATTTTTTGTAAGTACTACATACCAACCTTTACTACAAATGTACATATGTACATATTTACTGTTTTAACACACTTAGCATGGTGTTCTTCTTGGCCACTCTAATGACAGCAGCAGTATTCATTTCGGAACGCATGGATGGTGTTTGGGATCGCACTTTAGTAGCTGGGGTTTCCGCAATGGAAATGCTGTGGGCACATCTACTGACCCAACTCATTATAATGGCATTCCAATCATTCGAAGTAATAATGTATATTGGGCTGGTGTTCGACACCTACAACAAAGGTGATACGGCGACACTCATTGGTTTGCTAACATTGACAGCATTCTGCGGCATGCTTTTTGGTAAGCTCCAACTCACATTAGTAGTACTACATAATACATACATAAACAAAAATTACTATGGTGTAATATCTAATTCTTTAAGGTTTACTCATTTCCGTTTATTGCAAGTCGCACACAGAAGCAAATTTTGTTGCCACCGGCGCATTTTATCCAATGATAATTCTTTGTGGTAAGTAATTGACAAGAAAATTGACATATGTAATTGTGCAGCTGAACTTGGAAAATAGTTCGCATTAAAACATACACACATAATTTGTTAATATACCCTGCAGGGAAGACCCGTACTAGTGAATCAATTTTCTATTTTAGTACTAATTCTTTATCGGCAAAACTTAGTATTTAGATTCTGACCAGTTCAAAAGTAGCGAAATGTGGTACTTTTACAAAACTATTACATATAATTTTTTTTTTAAACGACAATATCGCAGCTATGAGTGCAAAAGATGCTAAGTATAATGTGATGCAAGAAGCAAGAACAATTAAAAATTCATAGTTTTCTAAAAGATATTTTACTCTAACCCACCAGTGGTCCACGGAAGACTCGACGGGGGTCCACGGTGACGTGAAAAAAATATGGGGGTCCTTGAGTTGTAAACGGGGGTCGATGAAGATTTATCTGGTTTCGATGTAAAGAACCGAAATGGTTGCTTGATAGCCTCTTTATTTACTCGGCACTCGTGCGTTTCACTACAGGGTATATATGTTTGCACATACATACACATACATATGCACGTAGATACGTAGTTACTCATAAACATTTTTTTCCAATATTTTCAGGATTGCTATGGCCACTAGAAGGTATGCCGAAATCTTTACAAGAGATTGTCTTATTTTTTCCATTTACAATACCATCTATATCAGCGCGAAATATTATTGAGAAAGGTTGGTCCATTACAAACGGGCAAGTTTACAATGGATTCATAGTAATGTCCGCATGGATTGTTATATTCTTTACGCTCTGCATGGTGGGGCTCAAGCGAAAGGCTTAAGCTGATAACGGGATTTTGCGCCAAAGAAGAATGTTGTAGTATTACATTATTGTTTTTATTTTTTACATAATCATAAGTTTCGTTTTCGGTTATGTAAATAATATTTAGCATACGGTACAAATTCATACGTACGTACTTAGAAATAGGAAAATTTAAATGCAGGCATTACATACATACCTACATATGTATGTGTATATTAGGGTGGTCCAAAAATACATGAGAAAAAGTAAAGTCGGAATTTTTATGCTCTCACCCCCTAGGATTGTTCTATACCGAAAAAAATATACCCATATTTTTTTATTTTGAAATCAAAAAATTTTTTTGAGGTCGCTCAAAGTTGTCCATGTATTTTATATGGGGGAAAAACGACTTTTCGTAGGTACGGAATTCTTCGAAATCAATATTTTTCGATCGGAAACCTCTGCTTCTCTTCAGGAAATTGCCAATAATAATACCCAATCATTCATTTACCCATTTTATCATAGTAACTATATTTTATAGGTCCACCAAAGCCCCCAGAAATGTCAGAAAATGCTATGGGGGGATAAATAAAAAATCTTTAGTACTAAAAAATGGTTAAACAAATAATTGGGTATTGTTATTGGAAGTCTCTTGAAGAGAACCAGAGGTTTGCGATCGAAAAATATTAATTTTTAGGAATTCCATACCATTTCTACGAAAAGTGGTTTTTTTCCATATAAACGACATGGAAAACTTTGAGCGACCTCTAAATATTTTTTGATTTCAACTAAAAATAGGGGTGCATTTTTTCGATGTAGAACAGTACTAGGGGTGAGAGGAATAAAATTCCAACTTTACTTATTTTGGACCACCCTAGTGAACATACTACATACATACATACATACAAATAAAAAATGTTAATAAATTAGGCCAGAAACTACAGAAAATATCCAATTTACATACATACACATATGCATATATAATTGGGGAACCCACAAGGTGTCATAACGAGCGTATTGTCATATTTCGTGTATTCACAACGGCTTCATATTGTTGTATGTAGTAAATTTTAAACGGTTAAATAAATCTTTGGACGACTTGAAACCACAACCAACTAGCTTTTAACAGTATGAAAACTTATTATATGACTTTTATGGTACCTTAAGACCCCCTTAGTATATCTTTAAGCATTTAAAATTAACGACAAAAAAACAATACGAGACTTGCGACACCGTTGTGAATATCCCGATAATAATACATTATTGTTGTTAAGATAAATAAGTATGAAATTCAAAACAACAACAAACAAAAAGATAAATTTGTCACTACAAGACTTATCATGACACCTTTTGAATCCCGAAAAAGTTTATACAAATTTTAATTGTGATCTGCGTACAATAATTTTTTACTCTTTTAATTATAAAGTGGTAGGGAAATATGAAAAACATTTTATATGTACATATATTTATATAATTAGGAAGGAACACCAATGTTTGTATCTAATGGGAGTAAGTGATTAAATATAAAAAATGTAAATATCAGTTTAAAAATAAATTTAATTTTAAGCAACTACAAATATATGAATGTATTTTTAACTTAAATTAAATCTTCTGTTGGTCTGCTAAACCGCACTTTGTTTAGTAACTGGAGCATTTTATGTGTAAAAACAATAAGGCACAGTGTTTTCTTCATATATATCAAGCGTTCATAAGGCGCTTTAACCCAGTGCACTGCGATACAAAACGGATGCATAGACCAATTTTCAATACGCTTTGAAACTCAAAAATGTACTCTTTCAAAATTGTTTTCAATTCGGAACTTTTTTTATTTCTCTGATCGCACATAGGGACGAATGGGGAATATAGTACGTTAGAAATGTTTATATTAAATTCTCAAAATTCAAATGGCGGAACCAATATGGCGAACGACTTTAAAAAAAAAAAAATATTGATTGTTATGAAACTTGGTATCTAGGAGCGTTGGTCGTCGATCATCTCGAAACTGGTATTAAATTTTCAAAATTCAAAATGGCGGACGACTTTTTTAAAATAATTATGGATGGTAATGAAACTTGATAGCTAAGAACTCTCGCAGTCACTGATTACTGATTACACCTCATTTTTGAAAATCGAACGAACGGCGCAGATCTGTTAACCTGGACAATAAATTGCTTCGCATATTAGATATAAAGATTATACAAAAAATATATGAATAGGTGGCAATCTTCGTTGAAATATTTCTGTTTGAAAACTATTTCAGTCCTCTTTCATTTGGTACCAAATTTGTTTGATTTGGATATGCGGTTTGTTTATTATTACGAAAGGACTTTTATTTCGGACTTAAAAAATATTTGGCCAAGTTTAACTTTTTTTGCTGGACATAAAAAATAAATGTCCGGCTTGACTGATTATTTTATTTCAAATAAAATAAAAGTCCAAAGATAATTTTTTTTAAGGACTTTTATTATAAAAGTTTTAAAAGTCCCGGTCCCTGGGAGGAAATGAGCGATACTTTCAACAAAAAAATTTCCCAAAAATCTTTGGTAAGTCTCAGATACCTCAGACTTACACATTATTATACTAAAATAGAAAGGCCTAAAAAACTGCATACTCGTTTTTTTTTCTAAGGAGTGTAATTAAAAAGTGTAATATTTTGGTGCAAATTTGCAGAATTTGCTTTAATTTTGCACATGCTTTGGAGCTATGATTTTTGGAATTTATGTTGTAGAATTAACCATATTTTAATAAAAAATTTGCGAAAAATAAAATAATTATAAAACCGTTGCCCGTATTGCGAAATAATCGCTGTACCTAAACTTTACTGATTGACTGTATATTATTAACAAAAATCGCTAAATAATTATCTATTTTGACACAACTGTCATTTATTAATAAGAATAAAGTGACAAGCGAAATTATTTTATCACCGCTTCAAACAAAAAATTATTTAATTCTTCTTCTAAAACTGCTGCGTTGCGTTAAAAGTCAAGATTTTGATGTTACATTGTGGACTGGTTTATAAAGAGTATTGTAAAGGGACAGTTAACCAAAAAAAAGTTGTATATTGAAGTTACTCATCTTCAAACTTGAATATCTCTGCCATTAGCTAAGCTATTTAGGTACAAGTAATTTTTAGCAAAAAAAACGACTTAAAAAAATATATATATCTATGATTCAATGATCTGATCTAAACCAAATTAGTATGGGACCACCTTTCCATTGCAAAAAGAATTATCGAAATCGGTTGACGTGGTCCAAAGTATTGCGAAAAAGTTAGCGAAAATTTAGGGCTGTTCGATGAACGCACTGGAATGCTCCAGTCCTCGTTGCCGCAAGCTTTCGCTGGATAATCGTAAATTTACCCTAAAAAATTGTCATTTAGTCCAAAAAATCGTAAAATTTTTGTTTATTGTATTTTTTTTTTTAACAAGGTAAAAAATACAAACCCATATGCAATGTGGTTTCCATTTAGTTTTGTAATAGCTCTGATCCAGTACTCTCCAAAAATTGCTCTCATTTACAGGAATTTTGGAGTACGGGGACACAAAAGCATTTTTTCTGTAAAAACGTCATACTGCCGATGGCTTGACACTTTTTATGATTATACCAGAAGAAAAAGTTCGGGTAAAATCTTGCAACTTTATTATCTACACAACTCTCCAAAAATCGCTCTCATTTACAAGATTTTGGGGTACGGGAACATGTTTCCTGTAACTTCCTGCAATTTCGTGTAAAAACCTGTAAGTTCATGGAGTACTGGATCAGAGCTATTACAAAACCAAATGGAGCCCACATTGCATATGGATTAATAAAAGTGGATTTGCAATTGTTAACGACAATTTAAAACACAACTGCTTTTAAATAGTTGAACCCCACTGGTTTGAAGTTTTTGAAGATTTTGATCCAGTTTTAAAGTAGGGGTCTTCACACCGAGCTTGGTACTCGGTGTTCGGTGATTTTTCCCAATGTATTTTCTTTGTGTAAAATTATTTTATTATCGGTGTACCGGATACCGCTGCCGAAAGGCATAACGCATACGGGTAAGTAAAATTCCTTAAATTTTATGTTACAATTTGTTTTTTTTAGGGAAAAACTACGAATCCGCTGTTGTTAAACATAGTTTTCCAGACTAATGGTCTGATTATGCATACTTCGCATAACTTCGCACACTTCGCATAAACTACAAACTGTAATTTCTTTGGTACTTTGTATGTAATTTGTATTTATTCCATTACCCAGAGATTAGCAGAACTTTTAATAACTTAACGATCAGTTTAGATTTTGCTTCACATTTTCTTGAGATACATTTTTATTGCACTGGTACAAATGGTTGTGCGAAGTATGCATAATCAGACCATAACAAAAGAAACCTGTAAACGACGTTCACAGTTGATACAATTACAGGGCGTCAACCAGCAATTTATCAAAACTACCAAAATTGATGTGAAGTATGCATAATCAGACCATAACAAAAGAAACCTGTAAACGACGTTCACAGTTGATACAATTACAGGGCGTCAACCAGCAATTTATCAAAACTACCAAAATTGATGTGAAGACCCTTAGTGTAACATTAGCATTGAACAAATACCCACTCTCTCTTTCAAATCAGTGTCATCAGCACAGTATATACAAGTTCTGATCCAATACATACGAAAAGTCCTGTAAAACTGTCAAACAGCAAAATTACTCTCTGAAGTGAGAGTAAAAAGTGAGTAACAACAAAAAGTACGGGAACAAAAAAACCATTTTTTCTGTAAAAACGTCAACCTGTGATTGCTTGACACTTTTCATGATTTAACAGAAGAAAAAGTTCGGGTAAAATCTTGCAACTTCATTCTCTACACAACTCTCCAAAAGTCGCTCTCATTTACAGGATTTTGGAGGATTTCGGAGTACGGGAACATTTTTCCTGCAACTTCCTGCAAGTTCGTGTAAAATCCTGTAAGTTCATGGAGTAATGGATCAGAGCTACAGTAATAAACCTTTTCGCAGTTTCTCACCAATTGGTCCCCGAGGAGTACTTTTGAGTTGTATGCAACGTTTTCGTTTAACGTGCACTGCAACACTTACTGTGGGGAATTTCGCCTCATGATTAGAAAAAGTTCTTTTCGAGGATAAAATATATATAATTGTGTTATTTATGAACAGAATGTAGTTTAAATATAATATCAATGCTTAATTGACGGTAATATCAATAGTAAAGAACATAATTATTGCTTGTCTTTCTTTAAACTGGAAACTCAAATCGTAATTATAGCCCTGAATGGAGTTTTCATAAATGTAAGTTTAAAATCAATAAAATATCCATTATGAGATTATATTTTTATGAAAACCGTGAATTTTGTGAATTTATAAAGG